GCCTGGGTGTGGTGGGGGTGTGGCTCCTGACCCACTCTGGACTCTCCAGGCCCCTGGATTGCTCTGTTTACTCTCTGTGACCCCCTGCTCAGTGCTGTGGGCAGCAGTTCCCCCCACTCTCTCCACCCTGTCCATGTTGACAGGACACCTGACAGTAACAACTTTTCTTGCCCACTGTGGTGAAATACATGTAAACCTTCCATTTTAGCTGTAGTTAGGAGTTCCATTCATTGGCATTAGTTACGCTCACCGTGTTGTGCCACCCACACCACTGTCTTTACAGAATTCTTCGTCAGCCTGAGTAGAAAACATGCCCCCGGCAGGCAGGCGCCCCTCCTCGGCAGGAGCCCCCTCCCCCTGCAGCCCTTCACCCCACCCCCTGCCGTGGACTGGACAGAGTAGACCTGCCTCTCCGGGTTCCCTGGGCTGCAGATCTTGGGAAGCTGACTGCCACACCTTGCTCCTGAGAGAGCAGGCAGGTCCATACTGCTGACCTTTGGGTTAGCAGCCCTATTATGGTTGTTTTTGTTAGGTGCCAGCAAGGTGAGGATGACTCACAGTGACCCTGTGTACAGGAGACCACACCTTGTCCCGTCCTGTGTCATCTTACCTCTCTGACACATGCGAGCCCATTGCTGCAGTCACTGTGTCCCTCTCATTGAGGGGCTTCCTCTCCTTCACTGACCCCCTGAGACCCTTCCAGGTATGAGATCCCATCCTTGATTCCAAAGAGCACTCTGGTGTACCTTCTCCAAGATGCCTCTGTCTGGTGTTTTGGCAGTCCCCTGGATATTCAGCCTTCTTCAGCATCACAGCTCAGAGGCATCAGTCTTCTGTCATCCTTATTCATTGTTCAGCTCTCAGTGTGTAGCTAGTGATTGGAAGGATCCCGGCCTGAACCACATGCATCCTCGCTGACATGGGCCTGGTGGTGAGGACGTCTGGCAGCCCTGGGGAACCTCTGATCTCCTTGGGTCCTTAGATCTTCACGGGAGTGGATCGTAAGGCCTGGGTGCTTTTGTGTGACTTCTTTCCTTCGCACAGTGTTTCCAGGTTCGTCCACATGGTGGTGTGTGTGAGAATCATTGCTCCCTGTGTGCTCGCACCATGCTTGGTACCCACTCCTCTGTTGGTGGACATGCGCGTGTGGCCTTGCTGTTGTCTGTAGCTACAGAGTCAGCCCTGGCCCTGCGGGCCCTGACCATGCCGACTCCGTGCACAGCGGGCTGAACGCCGCTCAGCCCTCAGCCGTCCCGTGATGGAACCGCTGGGATCCTTCGATTCTCTTTGGTTGATTTGCAGAAATCGACGCAGCCCTTTCTTCCTAGTCTCTCGTAGCCTGAAAAGCCGTTGGCGACGTTGTTTTTGTTGTTGGCCTGGCTGCTGTCAAGTCCCTGCTCATTGCAACTTGTTAACAGAACACAGTCACTGGCTGCTGTCCCCAACCGTTGCTGTAGGTGATTCCGTGGGTGCAGCCACGGCGTCGGTCCAACTCATTCCAGGGCTGCCCTTTTTTGCTCCCCTTCTCCTTTGCCAGAGAGGGTGGCCTTTTCCAGCCCCTGGTCTCTCCTGCTGACATGACCAGCATTCAAGATTCAAAGTCTTGCCATCTTCTGCTAAAGTCTTCAGAAGCAGATCTGCGCCTTTTTTTACACTAATTTTAATGAACGTTTACAGAGACTTTGGATTTCCATTCATTCACTGTTGCACTTTTCTCCTTGCCCACCCCTCCCCCCAGTTTGTTCTTCTCTTTGAAAAGTAAAAGGAAAATTCCTTCATTGGTATACAATGCCCCCCTCCCCGCCCCACCTGTCCCAAATACACTCACATAGGCAACCTTCATTCTGGACTCTTGTGATAACCATAATACCCTATCATATACTTGTTTAACCTGTTCCCTCCCTCATGTGTTTCAATACAGTATGCATAATTTATCCAGTTTTTCTCAGTCTTAACCCCAACACTGATGTTAGTCAGTCCCATTCTACAGTAGTGGCACCATGCTGTATTTGTCCCTTTGTGACTGAGATATTTCACTCAGCATAATGTCCTCTAGGGTCACCCATTTGGAATAATATTTCATGAGTTCCTTGTTTTTCAGTGCAGTGTAGTAGATCTGTGCCTTTTTTTGTGTGATTTTGCATTATTTTTTTTTTATTTTAATGAACTTTTATAGAGCATTTGGATTTCCATTCATTCATTGCTGCACTTCTCTACCCGCCCAGCCCTCTCCCCCACCCCCCAGTTTGCTCCTCTCTTTCAAAACTAAAAGAAAGACTCTCTCCCTGATACTCAATCCCCCCACACCCCTCCCGCCGCCCCAAGTACATTCCACTATGCAACGTTAATTGTGGACTTGATAACCATAATACCCTATCATACATCGCTTTTAAATTATTCAGTCCCTCATCTGTTTCAGTGCAGTAGACACAATTTATCCAGTTTTTCTCAGTCTTACCCCCACCCTGTTATCAGTCCCATTTTACAGCAGTGGCACTATGCAATATTTGTCCTTTTGCGACTGAGATATTTCACTCAGCATAATGTCCTCCAGGGTCACCCATTTTGAATAATATTTCATGAGTTCCTTGTTTTTCAGTGCAGCGTAGTATTCCATTGTGTGAATATACCACAGCTTCTCTATTCATTCATTTGTTGATGGGCACCTGGGTTGTTTCCAACTCCTTGCTGTTGTGAACAGAGCTGCGATAAACATGGGTGTGCATATATCTGCTTGGATGTCAGCTATGGTCTCTTCAGGGTATATTCCCAGTAGTGGAATTGCTGGGTCAAATGGTATCTCTATTTGCAACTTTTTGAGAAAGCGCCATACTGCCTTCCACAGTGCTTGCACCATTTTACACTCCCACCAACAGTGAATAAGGGTTCCAGTTTCTCCACAACCTCGCCAGCATTTGTTGCTTGAGATCTGTGCCTTTTAAAGACACGTTGCCGCACACTTAAATTGATGACCGTGCTTAGAAACCTGGTGGGGTTTTTTCTTTGCCGTCATTTGCGGCAGTGTGTTAATCCTGTGTCTCCTGTCAGCTTTCCTCACTCACCTCCGCCTAAGTGGAGATGTCCACACGTGGGAGGTGATGGGTCAGTGGACTGGCCCTCCTCCGGCCCCCACAATTTCCTTTTAGAAGTCGACAGGTGTGTAGGTTCCCATGGGAATGTTGCTGGTTCCGCTGCTCTGTGAGCCCCTCCAACGCCGTGGTACCTTTGTCTCCGCAGGTGGTTTCTCCTGGGCGGAGCCCTGCTGCTGGTCAGCCTGTCGATTGCCTTCTACTGCATCGTCTTCCTGGAGTGGTATTGCGGGGTGGAAGACTACGACACCAAGCACCCCACGCTGATCCCCATCACCACGGCCGCCTTCATCGCAGCGGGCATCTGGTGAGTTCATGTTGAAGTGACGGAAGTGTTTCCAGGGGAGCTCTGGTGGCCGGGTAGTGAGTAGCTGCACTGCAATCCCAAAGGCACACCGTTCAAATCCTCTAGCTGCTCTGCGGGAAAGGATGGCCCGTCTCCTCCCGTGCAGTTAACTGCATCAGAAAACCCCCTGGAAGGTCAGCTTGGGTCACTTGGCATTTGAAGGTACGCAGCAACAAGAAGAAGGCATTTTCAAGTATGATCGTGTCTGTGTATCTACATACGCCTGTGCGTACTCAGTGGCACGAGGTCGACTCTGAAAAATAGCAGTGTTCCTTTAAGAAGTGCATTATGCTGCCTTCTTCTATTCAGAATTCCGAGAGGTCGAGGCGTGTCTGCTCTTGGACACTCAGCTCATTGTGGGTTAGGACTCATTGGACGGCACTGAACCACAGCAGCGTAGGACAGTGGCTGAGAGCACGGCCTGTCGGTCTAGGGAGAAAACACAGGCGAACTCTGGAGCAAATACAGCATCTCAGCTGGGACCCAGGCTGGAATGAACCAGGTTTCTTGACTGCTTCTTCTGTGAAGGTGATCCCATGAAAAATAAAACTCATGGTAACTTTAATCTTTTCTCCATTTATCATGTTGCTGCCTATTGGTCCAGTGGTGTGGTTTTTAATTTTCATCATATTGAAGTGTAACTCATATGAATTGCATCTCAACGTCAAGAAAACAAAGAAGCAACATTATTTGTAGGAGAAAAGATTGAAACGGCCAATGACGACTTCTTACTGCGATTCATAATCAACACCCTTATTGATTTTACTGTCAGGAGAGCAGATTCATTGCATTGGGAAAGTGCTGTTCGAGACCTTGCCAAAGTACTGAAGAGCAATGATATCAGTCTGGAGATTAAGATGCGCCTGATCCAGGCCATAGTCTTTGCAGTTACTTGCTATGTGTCAGAAAACTGGACAATGACTAGGGATGATAGAAGGAGAATTGATTATGTTGAACTGTGGCACTGGAGAAGAGTATTGAATATACCGTGGGCTTCCAGGAGAACAAACAGGTTCATCCTAGAGAGAGTGAGACTAGGATGTTTGTTGGAGGCAAGGATT